TAATAAATTAAATCGTACTACTCGAAAATGTATTTAAAGGGTTGGTTTTCGACTTGGTTGAAGAATAACTCTCTTCCCAACTCTTCTCTTGACCATATCTCTCGATATAATCAAAATAATCTTAGTATAACGAATGTCAAAATGAACGTAAACGCGACCAATTTAAGACATATGATCAAGAGGAAACATGAACGATGTATGAAAAAATCAAACAAATTTATTTAATAAAACAAAATTTACAACTCAATAATTTTTTTTTGCATGTAATAAAATCCCATTATTAACTATTAACAATATAGCAAAAAACACAAAAAGACCAATTAGTGCTTCACTGGAATTTGAATTAACCAATCAATTGTTTACGGTCGAAAACCAATCTATTAATAGTCTAATGTGTACGTACAAAGAAGCAGAGCGAAGACGTTTTGTTACTAAATCAGGGGTTTAAGTTGAAGTTGCATCATTTATTGTTATCATGGTGATACGACGTTATACAAAATGGTCTAACACTAACACTAATACTATAGTAAACGATAATGATACAACAACGTTATACAAAATAGAAAACTTCAAAAAAATGCTTTTTTCAACATCTATTACTATTTACTGTCATGAAAAACCAAATCAGCGTTGAATCATCTCTACTAGACCTTTTTCGTTTAACAATTTCAATCTCTTGTGTTCATTTATCACATTCCTATCTACCTTCAAGGAATCGAAATCGAAATCAAAAATATCCATCGAATTCCAGGAAGGAGATCGACTCATTGCCACATAGATCTGACCAGGAGCAAACATATTTTGATCTATGATCAAAGTGACGTGCGGCAACGTTAGGCCTTGGGTATTGCGGACGGTTAACGCAAAAGCATTCTGTAAAGGGAATTGGTGTCTCGAGGCATGTACTCCGTTAATTTCAAAGTTCGCGGTAGCCTTTTGAACATTGATATTAACAATGTTTTCGTTTGTTGGGAAGGTGACCTCAATGTTATTGCGGTCTATACTCTTGGTAACGACTCCTATTGTTCCATTGCAAATGTTGTGCTCGAACAACTTGTTGTTCAGAAACATAACCCGTGCCCCTTCTTTGATCGTGTGAGGTTTGTATGATTTTTGAAAGGCAAACTGTTGGAGCTGCTATCAACCACATCAAAATTCAACGTGTTATGTGCCATCGAAAGAATGGGGTCGGAGCATTGATCGCTGAATGGTAGGTTTCACAAATGAACGTGTTGATTTGTTCCGAGAACTCACGAAGCCCAACAACATGCGTGGTGTTTATCACCACTTTGGAATTTTGTGAATCTTTGATCTTTTCACTGATCATCAATCTTGATTTTTCAGAAAGGCGCCCAAATCTCAACTCTTCAAGCAAATGGTAATGGGAAATGGCATATCGATCAATTCTACAATCCATGATTTCAAAAGGTTACGTTAATATTAGTATTTAGTTAAGTGTGGAGACAATTTATTTTTATTTTGTTTAAGATTTCAGTTTTTTTTTCAGGGGGTGCGTGTTTTGAAATTTAAACCTTTTATTTTTAATCAAAAACGCTAATGTTCCATTTTATTTTTTGCACTTTATAAATCAATTTCAATTTTTATTGTTGAGAGAAAAAATCACCCATCGTTTTGCTTATTCGGGGCAACAAAGGCAGTCGCAGTTTAAAATTCGTTCCTCAAGTACATATTTACACACATGAATGCGTTTTCGACTATTCCTGGATAGGATTTTTAAAGTACTTGGCGCGCAACACAATAGCGACAAACAATTAAGCAAATTGTGTTTTTTATTGATTGATTGTTATTTTTATACATTGCAAGAAATAGAAAAAAAGAAAAAGACAAAAAAAAAGAAAAAAAATCATTCGGTGTCTGAATTTTCACCATCAGGAAATTAATTTAGCATAAACTTGCATAAATCTTACGATGCCGACGTAATATTGTGTAAATCTTACAGTGCCGACGTAAGTTTTACACTTTTTTATTATTAAACTTACAATTGACATGTGTAAAATTTTTTTATATTTTCCGGATGACTACGAGAACCTATCGATCTCTTGACGTCCAAACTTTCGTCCCCACCTCGCAACCTTTTCTCTTGTCGTTGACTATGCTCACCACAGCTGCCAACTTGGTTGACCTTGGTTCGTCGCAATCCGTGGGTGCGCCTCTTTTCTGTGCGCTGGTGCTGGACACTCCGTTATCATTACTATCCCTTAAAGGAAATGAAATTTACGCCAAATTTGGCATAGATTTTCGAGTTAGTGCAGACCCCCACCAAATGGAAAAATTACTATTTGACCCCATTTTTTTTTGATTTTTAAATAAAAAAAGGCATTTTTATACATATCATTATTCAATTATAATTAAATATTTTTTCTTTGGGAAATGAATAACTCGGAAAAACATGCATTCAAAAAAAATCCAAAAATTTTAGAAAAAGTTGTTATCCTGTGATATCTGGTCTAAAACCGCAAAGTATGTGAAGATACTTGTTCTAATAAACAAGGTTGCTTAGGGAGAAAAAACAGTTTCTGTATATAATATTTTCCTTATTTTAATTTGTACTAAAAATTTCTTCCAAATTTGGACAAAATCCTTAAATATTGCACCAAATTAAATTAATTAATTATTATTACTGTGATATTCTACAAAACAATTTCTTTTTGAGCTTAAACATAAAGCAAGATCACATAGAGTACAAAATACATGTGAACAATTATCATTAGTTGTAGCATTTATTCCTTCTTCCTGCCTTTGATATTTACAATACTCACATACAATCCTATTTTCTCTATATTCAGGAAAATGATTTCCTGGTACCAGTCTTGTTAAAGAAATGGTTGATTTAGACGTAGTATAATGTTTTCTGGAAGAAGAAAAAAAAGATTTGTGGTGAATTTCCCTTTGATCACTTTCTAATCCTGATTTAATTAGATCCCATGCAATATGTAATCTAAAATCCTTATGTGTAATTTTATTATTATTATACTTTTTTTTATATATTAAATAAGAATTAATTATTGCAGTATCTAACAGCCAGAAAAACATTGGCATCCAGGTTCTCCTAACTTTCTGTTGAGTTGAATAATAACTTCTCAGTTGGTCTGCAATATCAACTCCTCCCATGAAAAGATTGTAATTATTAATTATTTTGGGAATGGGCAATAGTTTCCTTGTTGAATTACCAAAAACACTTCCTACTTTTGCACCATTTCTACTAGTTATTCTAGGATGGTGACATAACTTATTAATTCTATTTTCATTACCAGTAATCTCATGTATTGTGGATAGCATTGTAACAGGACCATTGTCCATCCACAATACTGCCAAAACGTCATCAACAACTACACCAGAAAGTGTATCCCATTCTAAATTTTTATTTTTTATTTTAAGAATTGGTGGGAATCCTGATGAATTGGTATGAACAGTTCCACATGCACCAATTCCTTTTTCATGTAAAAATTTAAATAATTTGATACTTGAAAAATAATTATCCATAAAAATATTGAATGATCAATTGGATGGTAGCTTTTTGATTAAATGATAAACCTGGTTTCCCATCTTATTGAGATGTTCAATTTGTTCAATTTCATGATCTTTTTCAATTCTGGAAGTGAACATGAATGAGTAAGTATAACCCACATCACACAAGGCCAAAACCTTATATCCTTCTGGAGTAGGTTTGTTCTTCATTCTAAATGTATGTGCACTCCTGCCACAAAATCTAATGATCATTTCATCAACTGCAACATTAGAAGATGGGATGTAAATAGATTGTGATGCATCATTTATGTGAGATGCTATGGTTCAAGTTTAGAATACCAAAATGGATGGTCACTATAAATGTCAGAAATATGCAAAAAGTTCTTAATTTTTTTAAATGTTTGCAGTTGCATATATGAGGTAATGGAATGAATTGGCATTCTTTCATCCTTATTCCAAAAGTCTTTAAAAGATGGAGTTTTGTATATCCCTGAATAAATAATAATTCCTAGTCAAGTCAAAAATTCATAAAAATCAATATCCATCCAAGAATCTTCTTTTTTTTGTTTTCCATATTTATTAGTATTATTTACAATTATTCTTAAAATTTCATTCAAAAAAAAATAATTTAAAAATATCATAAGGTGTGATGGAATCAAGAATACTGTATTCATATGGCAAAATTAAATGAGGCTCATTGTATAAAGGATATTGATGAGCAAACTTATTAAATGATGGTGAACTTGGAAGATTAATTTGTTGTGATTGTGTATTTCTATTTCTTCCACCACCTCTTCTATCACTCCTAGCTCTACTCCTGTTTCTGTTACCTCCACTAAATGTTGAAATTTCATTTTCTTCATCAGTTTCATCTTCATTGTCTGCATCATGTTCAAAAACTTCATCTTGATAAATATCTTGTGGTCTTCTTGTAATGTTAGCAACATAGTAACCTGTTTCATCGTCAGAATCAATAACTTCTTTGAAAATATTTTCTTGTAAACTCATTTTAGTTTAAAGCAAAATTACAGTGGCGATCATAAATAATGCAACAAAAAAATAAAATTCATTAAATCGAAATATTTTGTGAAAATTCAAAGACATGCTTCTTTTTTTTATGATAGTTTCGTTTGTTAATAACGTTGTTTTTATATATTGAAATTCAAGGGTGGATCCATAAATCAATTATTTTTGAAACGATGCATTTATTCAATAAGTGGTGTTGCATTATTTATTTTCTTTTTTAACGCAGCTTACATAATATATATAAAATAAAATAAAAATAATAACAACGTTATAGAATTTAACCTCTACCACCTTGTATAACCACCTCGTGCCTTGATAACATCATGGATTCGTTCTGGCATAGAATGGATTAGGTTGGTACAAGTTTCAACACCAATTTCAAACCAAACCTGTTGTATCTTATTCCATAAATCCTCTTTGCCGGAAATTTGCCCAGGGAGATGCCTGAGACGACGATCAACCTCATTCCATAGATGCTCTATGGGATTAAGGTCCGGGGATTGGGGAGGCCAATCCAAGATCTTTATTTTATTATTTTTGAGCCATCGTTTTGTTGATGATGTTGTTATCATAATTAATAGGAAGAATATAATCGGATGAAATAGAACATGGAAGAAAAGAAGCGAAAGATGATGGATTTGGATTATAATCTTTGCAACAAGAAGAAGAATGGTACGGATAAGGTGGCGTTGAAAACTTACAATTGTTGTTATTATTATCAACTTCAATCTTTTGTAGCAGTTCTGGTTGTTGATCAATAAAAGTATATTCTTTTGGTAGTTGGTTACCAGTAGTGCTGTCTTTTTTACCATAAATCAATTTATGTTTTTCACGAGCCAGTTTTGCTAATCTTTTAAAGTAACTTTTTACTTCGTCTGGTGCATTTTTCCAGGAAATGCTGGCCTCCTTTGAAAGAACCTTCCAATCTTTATTGCTACCAGAAGATTTATGTTTTGCAGCATAATTTTTACGATATAAGATAAAAGCGTTTTGAGGTTTGGGGATGCCTAAATGATTGATATTATTAAGATCAGGAGAAATAAATACTGTAATTTGTGAATATAGTTTACAAGGAGGATTGGAAAGAAGACGAATCTCATCGTCAAGTTGTACTTCATTAATAATATATGAGAATATATTGGTATTCATATGTGTTAATTATTGAAAAATGTTTTTATTATTATTATTAAATATTAAAAATTTTTATCGAGTTTTTATAACTTGCTCTATTACTATTAATCGAATTAATTATTCGACAAAAGAAAAAAAACCCAATATTGAAAAAGGATTTTTAAGAAAAAAAAAGTGTTTATATACGTATTTTAATAGTTATCAAAATGGTAATAAAAACAACAAAAAAAAAGAAACATTCGTAAAGAAAATATTAATCTAGCAATTTAATTGGTTACAAAATATCGGTTTTTTTACAATTCATTTCAAAAAATTCGCATCCACAACATATTTTGGTAGGGTAGGACTGTGGCCTTGATTTTATGAGTTTGTGGATATATCTAAAAGTTCTAAGATTTTTTTACCACATTTTGATCGTCAAAAGTCCTTATCTATCATAAAAACTTTTGCAATGTAACGCATAAATAAGTAAATATTTACATTATTATTATTATTTGAATTTGTAATTTTCCTTTCGTACTTTCATATTATGATTGATAAATGCAATAAAATAAAAAGAACCAAACCAA